AGGGGGAGGAGAACCTCTCTGACCTACAACCACCCCCCTCCTGATACTCCCCAGGTGTATCAGGATACACCTCATGATAATCCACCCTCCATATTATTCCCAAGTATGTAAGTCCTACTCTCACTTGACACAAGATGCTCTTTAAATACTCAGATCAAGTTTATTAAAAAAAAAAAGACACTTCAATGAAACAGAAAGCAATTTCATTGCTCATGGGGATGATGTTTCATTAAGTGTATTTCTGGAATAATCTCAACCAACTACTTTGTAAGTTCAATTTGAATATGTGTACAAGGCTTGCTAGTTTTTATAGAGTGTAAGCACTACATTTTAGTGCAGTTATCCGTTCTATATAATCTGTTAAAGGGAAACATTGACACATGACATCTGAAAAGAGACTTTCCATAGGAAGCAGGAGCAGAACTCTTTCTATCAATATGAGCGTCCTGAGATAAAGCGTGCAGAAAGAGATCTGTGTTCTCACTTGTTCTAACAAAAAATATGCACATAAGGGGATTTTGCAGTAATCACTTTGTATCACTGACATTCCAATTTCTTAAAAGCCACTTTGGAGTAAATGATTTTGGTTATGCTGAAAAGGAGCAAAGCTAACAAACAACTGTGTTCTGTTCATAAGTGCAGTCTCTTCTGCATTGGCAAACAGAAATGCAGAAGGACTTGCAGTCTGTGTTACATCACTGTGTAATGACAACAAAACCCTCATCTGGTCTCCTCCTCTACCCTCCCAAATCTGTAAAAAAAATCTGAGTTACTGGCAGACATAATGACAGAGTGCAGAGTTTTCAATGAGAAAATACTGTGCAGGAATAAAAATAAGACAGCGGCATTTTAAAATGGCATTTGTGCTGTGCACCATTTGCAAGTTAATTTGCTATCAACAGAAAATTACCTTTTCTAGTGCTTTGTCAAGTCTCATCTTCAGACCGTTCAGAACCAAATGGGAAAGCTCCACTGGAGCGACAACTGACGTTTCTCTCTCCAGTAGCTCATCTCCTGTTCTCCCTAGGCTTAGTTCTTTAGTATTGTTCATGGTTCTTGCTTTAAAACTGTGCAAAGTCTGTTAGTTTCGTCAATAAGAACTTCATGTACTTCTTGAGAAGAGTGAACTTGACTCACTGTTATGAACCCGGGTGTTCACAGCCCACTGTGCTCCGTACACAGCAACAGCGAGGCATAAAGGGTCCAAATTCTAATTCTGACTTTTAGCAACAGAAGTGGCAATGCTTGGTCTTTGTTTATTTGCAGAAAATATCGCTGTCAGGCCATGCAATTTACTGCCTCCTTTCAAGAATGTTTAGATGCGTAACATATGTCCAGAGCACTGAGCAGATGGTGCATTTGGTTTAAAGAAACAGGGAAATCATGGTAAGAAGTACAACGTATTAGGCCCAAAGGTGCTGTGCCTAAGCACTTGTGGTTGACTCCTGTGTCAGTGCAGTTACTGATGCAGAAACAGTGTTGAAGTACAAATGCTGGCTGGCCTTGGGGCAGCTGTGGGTTCCCCTTTCCCTGACGGAGTTGTCAGAAGCCAGGCAAAACTCAGGAGGAGGAACCAAACCCTGCGCTGCTCCACTGCCATGGGAGGAGCTCGTTCCCACAGGAGAGAGCTCTGCCGTAACACGGGGGAGGCCAACGACACACAGTCACACATCATGTCCCAGCTGTGCAGAAATCTTTGTGTCTTTACCTGAACTGGGACAGTTTTTGTCCAGAGCTACCTCACTGCAGCAGGCAGCCCATGCTCCGAGATGGAGGAGCTTTAGGGTGCCTTCCCAACTCCACTGCCCTGTGACCTGGGAAAGTGCTTCTATTCCCCTGCTCGTCATCTTCAGTTTTCAGATTAATGGTTCTGAACCAGGGGACCTCGTTCGTCGTCTTGTGCAGCAGGGATGTTTCTGCCAGCAAGCACAGCAGGCCACTACTGCAGCTAAAATCAACACTGCCCTCTGATTGGCAGCCCCAGATTTTGGGGGTCTGGAGTTCGGAGCTCAGATGGCACTAAAATGAATATGTCACGTGCTTTGACTGCAAATGTTACATAGCCGAAAGTCACTTAACTTTGCCTGTGTTTTATGAGGAGTTGCGTTGGATGCCTTTATAAACTGCTTTGGAGGTAATTTGGGCCATGAGGCTCTAATGAGCTACACCTTGATTGAAAAACAGGCACAGAGGAAAGTTCCCTTTCTGTGTAAGCCCAGGAGCAGCTTGATAAAAGCCCGCCATAACCCTGTTCCACGATAAAGTATTGTTCCAACTGCGAAAAGAAAGTTAGTGGCGTTCTTTTTAAATGCATCAAAGATTTTTATTACCTCTAAAGTTTTCTTATCAGGGCAACACTTACTTATCTGCTTTAATTGTGATCCCAGCCCCTGTGCTTTTTCACCCAGTGACTGATGAGCTGTACCTTAGCTCTGATAACTGCTTCCATGGAAATAAAACCAGTGTAAGCAGCTTAGTGTTTTATTTAACTTTATTCTTTCAAGAACAATACTGCTGAATCTGTGTATTTCAAATAAAGTGGGTTATTCACCTGCACTAAGACAGTTGTGCTTACTCAAATGAGAATTACCAGTGATTAGACAACTTGGGTCTGATGAAACAAACAGGGGGCCTCAGAAATCATGTACATCATTCATAAGAATAAAAGACACTTTTTAAAATAAGAAGTAAGTATTCCCGTGTGTTGGACATGAGGGTTTTACTACTGATTTCCAATCTCGGATTCACAGCTACAATGCTCAAAGTATAAATGTCTATAAAACTAGGAAATCTCAAGACACGCGAATTTGTAAATCATTTCCCTCCCTTATTACTGCTGTTAGAAAAACACAGTAACCACCACTTTATTTTAAAGTTCATTAAATTAGGAGTCATTAGGCAAAGCACTCGGGCGTAAAAGCTAAACTGGAAGATGACCAGAACCAGGCTTTAAGTTTCAAGCACTTCTCACACCAGAGGAAGGGGCTGAGGGTCGTTTCCATTACACAGTAACTAGCATCATAACTACTTCTTCTACAAGTTATTTCAAGAAGGAAATCATTCCCAATTGTGCCCAAAGTACCAAATAAACAACAAAAGTGCTTACTTCGACCAGCAAACTAACACAGCAACGGGGCCTTCACTGCGCCCCTCCAGGCTGCCGCCTTGACAGGCTCCCGAGCGGCACCTACGAGAAGTTCTCCCTTTCTCAACACAAACGACAAACCCTTGCTTATCAAAATAGTGCAAACAGGAACAAAGAAAGGTGCTGTAAACTGCAGGGGGGAAGGCAGCTGAACACCACGACCTCGCACCGTTGCTCCAGAGACATCAGTAGTACTTTTCTCAGCACGTCAGACCAAACGTGTTCCTGTCAACCACGTGTAACCCCCATTACATGGGGAACAGATTTGGTCTTTGATATATCCTCCTTCATAGAAAAATAAATGTGCCTGTTCTTTGTATTGTGCATTAAAAAAGTGTAAAGACTTCTTCAAAACTCTACTTGATCAAACCATCGGAGTCATTAATATATACAAACCTGTCTTCCCTTTTTCCCTTTGTAGCTTTCTTTGGAGTGCATAGAAAAGGCCACAGTGACACATCACATACAAAAGTCAAGTTTAAGTTTCATGTAAAATACTCAAATATTTTTAGCATTTATATACACAAGTTTATTTACCAGACATTCTTTC